GAACAAATCTGAGGGAGAACATTCAAAACTATTATGATAAAATCTTTTTCAACAAATATTAGTAAAAAATTTCCTCAACAAAATAAGTATTTTAATAGAAAAATTAAGTGCTAATTTGTTTGTGATTCAAATGAATTAAACCAAATATTTATTGACGATATATCGAACATTTATTATATTGTTAATGAGGAAAATTAGATTGCGATAATTGTCATTATTGTTTTATTGCCCAGCCCTACTGTAATATAACTTTAATGTAAACCTAGTACAGCACACTAGTTTCAGACATCATCATTATACCATGCTGGTAATGCTAACTCAACCCAAATTTCAAAGTGAAAGTAGTCCAGAATGTTCTGAAAGTAACGTCATGCTCTTTTTGTATCTTATTGTTTGTCAAAAGGCAATCATTTATTTATTTTAAAATTAAAACCATTAAATAATTCATAAATGTGACAATAATTTCAATTTAGAAATGATCTAAACTATCCATATGTAGACATTTGATGATAAACTTACATATCTGGCTGAAGAACTCTGCAATGCCTCTTCATCACTTCTAATTCGCTTGGGATGTCTTGACGTTTCACTGTCACTGCTGCTGCTGGACACAGAGAGGAAACTCCCACTGGATGGGGTAGTGGTGTGGATGGAGGTGACGACTGAGATTTTCCTGAATCTAAGAATAAAAGATATAATGAACAATTCACCTTATTTGCACTGTAGTTGTGGATCAAATTTTGGAATGAAAAACTGGGCATGACTCCTGCTACCAGCCATGCAAGAAACTGCTTATATCTGTCCAGACTGAACAGTTATTAATTCAAAAGAAAACATCTGCTTTGGCCATTTATGAATGTCCACAAACAGCTAAAAACTATGCCCTAGTTGGTGCTATAAAAACATTCCTTGTTTTTTAAGCTATCAATTTTTACTTCAAGTTAAACCTGTTTCCAACAGGAGTCTTAATACTTCATATGCTAGTTCTAATACTGGGTTAGGGTTGTAAGGCAATAAATTCATTGCAATGGATGCATTTGAAATAAGCACTCCTATTAATGCAATGTGAAATGAAGCAATTTTTAAAATTTACCATTGGCACGACTGTCCTTGATAACAAAACAAATCCCTTCCACTGTGGATAATTCTGCAAACACAGATTCATCCACCTCAGTGCCAGACTCATCTTTCACAGTGATCTTGTCCACAGGGATCAAGAACTTCTCTCTCACTAAGTGATGAGGTTAAGAGACAACATAATTATTTAATTTGTAAAATATATTGGCCTCCACTCAGTCTGAATTACATGGTTAGTCATATATCATATGAGATATTCATCAGCAGGAAAACCGAGGACACTGAAATACCTTTGGTAAGAAATATCAGCTACACTACGGGTACAAGCGGCCGAAATGGGTTTCCTCAGGCGGGTGACTGGTGTCTTCCTTAGAGATAGGGTGAGAAGCTCGTCCATCTGCTAGGAGCTCAGAGTAGAGCCGCTGCTCCTTTGCGTTGAAAGGAGCCAGCTGAGGTGGTTTGGGCATCTGGTAAGGATGCCTCCTGGACGCCTCCCTAGGGAGGTGTTCCAGGCACGTCCGGCTGGGAGGAGGCCTCGGGGAAGACCCAGGACTAGGTGGGGAGATTATATCTCCACATTGGCCTTGGAACGCCTCGGGATCCCCCAGTCAGAGCTGGTTAATGTGGCTCGGGAAAGAGAAGTCTGGTGTCCCCTGCTGGAGCTGCTGCCCCGCGACCCGACCCTGGATAAGCAGATGAAGATGGATGGATGGATAGACTATACATGATCACGTTTGCATTATGGAAACGTAACAGGTATAATTCAGCCAAAATTTACTTACCTGAAGTTTGAGTTTTTGAGTGGGCACCCTCGTGGTCGTGATTGCTACAAATCAATACTATCAAGTGATTAATGTTAACGTTACTGAAAAGACGCGCAGATTTTAGCTGACAAAAAACGGACACGCAGCCATGTCTGATTAAACATGTTTTAATGATATGCTTGACCCAAACAGCTTAAAACTATTTTCAAAAAGAGTTTAGCTAGCTTAACTTTAGGTCAACAAGCTAACATATGCACATTTTAATACAAAATAGCAACAACAAGAAGATAATTAATTATGTTGTACTCACCAATCTCTCTTCTTCATGCTCGAAGCGAGTGAAAGAAAATGGTGGCTGTAAAATTCCTCAACGAGCGTACCTGCCGAAATGACGGATGTTGAATGTATCACTCATAGTGTTGAATACCGATAACTGTAATTTTATGCCGACACTATCATGTATTTTCACTGTACAGAGCTCATTTTATCAGAATTAACAACAGAAACAGCAGAAATAATAAAAAGAACGCTGAAAAACAGCGCTGGGTTTGCAATTTTGTTGTTTTTGTTTTGTGTGTTTCTGCTCATGTTCATGTGGAGGGTAATGAGAAAGCAGACAAGACTGCAAACAGAGTGTTTAAATGAAATAATGAAAGTTCCCTTTGAAAAGTTGAGGTCAAATCATCAAAGGCAGTGAGGGAATCGTGGCTGAAATGAGTGGGACACGCATATCAAAGGGAGAAACTATTACAAGAGATAGAAATTGTTTAAGGTGAAGTGTTTCTTTCAAGATTCAAACATACTAGGTTAACTAAATTCTTCGAGAAAATTAGGGAATTTTATAAAACCTTTCTTTCATTTGATTAAAGTCAGATTAAATCAGGATTAGATTGTCAGGTAGGCCATAGCTGAAGCCTGAGCAGGTACATGCACAGACATTTTGGTGGACAGGGGCTCAAGTGAGAAAAGGCTTTTTTTAAAAACAAGACAAATATATTAACTCAACATTTTTACTTTTCTACAAAATAATCAGTTCACACAAAGACCACAGTCTCAAAGCAAACTATGCCACAATGTGCATGTCTATGCTACTAGTTTCAAATATATATTTAGAATAAATGACATGTGAAATTAATAATTTGTTTATTTTTCACACAATAAATCGTTTCAATTCATTTGATGTTATTGGAATACATTGGAACACTTCACATAAATCCTCACACTAAACTGTGGCATTGGGCTGCAGGCATAATTATAATAAATGTTATTTAAATACTTTTTGTTTCACAAGCAAGATGCCAAAGTAAAGATAACCTTCAGCTTCACACAGCCAAGCAACAGAATACTGAATTGCCTGAATGCATTAATGTGTTGATCAAATACTTTATTATTATCGCTATTATATTACATTTACCATGCACACGCGCACACCCACACACAACTACTGATGGTGACATGGACTTTCACATTTGAGAGAGGGCTGTCGGCATCATGTAAAGATCTATCAGCATACAACAAACTAATAGAATGGATAGTTATTAGATGAGGAGCTCTTAATGGCACTTTTTCATGGAGTGGTCAATTTTGAGAGTTTTTTTTTTTCTTTTACTCTAATGGAAATAAAACTTCAAGAATACACCTTTAGATGGTGTTGGTTTTAAGCCTACTAACCTCTATTTGCATCTGTAGATTTATTCTATATTACCCAAAACAAGCTAATCTGCATATTTACAAAGCACATTTCAGAGGAAAATACTCTTAATGTAAGTCATTAACTGGGGAAGTTCTGTGGTGATATGCTTTAGTTATTTTCTTTATCCCATTCAACTGCAATGACTTGTCAAATGTGTAAAAATTGGCGCATTTTAATTAGTTAACGCCTCATTTGCATATCAATGTGGCGATAGTGATGATGTTATTAGACACAAATGTTACTGTGTTCACCTGCAGCGTCTCCATCAGTACATTAGGTTGTATGGCCATGAGATATTGCCTTAGCTAACTTATTACACTAGCTCAGCTCATGAGTCATGCGTTAGCAAGACATATGCCTATATGGTCTTTTGTTTAATTAGCGGTGAACTCGAGGCACTGGTAGTTTAGTCTTTTGTTTATCACCACTCACCTCCACACAAGTCAAGAAAAACAGTGCCGGGAGAGAAGCTGGAGGGGCTGCTGTCTGTCTGTGCGCTGCGCTCTGGTTGCGCCGTGAGACGCGGAGCGAGAGAGAGAGAGTCTCATGTTCCGACCTGATAGCCTATTTAGATTTTTTCCCCAAAAAATACATTTGTTTGACAGGGAATCTGTTGGAAACGGGAATAAATATACTGTATATTCATTTATACATTTTTTTTTAAAAAGCATCCCAGAAAAAAGCACTTCCTCTTGAGGAAGAAAAAGGGCAGGTGCTGAGGTATGTAAAGCCCCGATGTTACGGTTAAGTAGGTGAAAGTATGCTATTATAAATGTTGGTTTTCTGTTCCGCATGAAATCAGAGAAGAAGAAAAAGAAAGTCCGAAATTCACTTCATTCAATTTAACCAGTTCAAAGCGAAGCGAAATCCTCAACTAACGTATAGATAACTCTAATGGAGTAAATATACTGTATACATTGTAACGGTCCACAAGCTAGGAATAAAATGCCATCAGTTGAAAGCGGAACGAAAAGCTCCCGCACTTCCAATGTCGGAACTTAACAGTGTGACATCCACCGGAAGTAAACAAACCAAGCGGCAGCGTCAAGCGCGTTTGAATTCGCTGGAAGGCTTTATTGTAGTCGTAGCACCTCTAATTATTTCATTTGTAATTAATTAACAATGTCTTCAGTTGAGTGGTTGAGAGAGTTTGTCAACGAGCGACTAACTGCTGCTGCTGAAGAAATATTCGGAGTTTTTATAAAAACTGTCGTCGAGTACGAAGAAGAGATCGATCGTCAGCGCAGACTGCTGGATATCGTTTGGAAACCCGAAGTAAAGTTACACAGAATAGGTGTGTAAAACTTAAAAATTAAGCTTTTAATTACATAAGTGCTACACAAAACTCAATTTAAACAAAATCCAAATTGTTGAAATAAATACTGGTGCTCATTTCCTCGCATGTCTGCATCTTGTTCTTTCCCATCCCAGTAGTAGCCTGTTCCTTCTGTTCTCTGTCCCTCCAGAGCTCCCACAGCAACATGTCTGGAAGGAGGAGGAGGTTCTGGCTGACCAGCAGCTCTGTATTCAGGAGAGGAACTCCAGTCTGGACCAAGAGGACCCAGAGCCTCCACAGATTAAAGAGGAACAGGAGGAACTCTGTACCAGTCAGGAGGGAGAGCAGCTTGTACTGAAGCAGGAGACTGATACCTTTATGTTGACTCCTACTTATGAGGAAAGAGACCACAGTGAAGCAGAACTGAAAAGTGACCACCAGCTCCTCTCTCACAGCTGTCATGTAGCTGAGAGCCAAGATCAGAAAGGAGGCGAGCATGAAGACTCAGGATCAACTAGAGACGCAGAGCCAGAACAAAAGAATCAAGATCACAAAAGCAGAAGCCACAGAAACAATGTAAACAAGTCTACCATGTCAGAGGTTCACCATAATCCTCACACAGGTAAAAACTCTTTCAAATGTGACACATGTGGTAAATACTTTAGGGATAAGTCAGATTTGCAGAGACACCTGAGAATTCACACAGATGAAAAGCCATATTCTTGCAGCAGCTGTGGGAAAAGATTCAGAAACAGATCAGATTTGAAAGCTCACATAAGAACCCACACAGATGAGAAACCACATTATTGCAAAACATGTGGGGAATTCTTCAGAACCAACAGTCACTTGAAAGATCACATTAGAACCCACACAGGTGAGAAGCCATATTCTTGCGAAACATGTAGGAAAACTTTTAGACGGATTAGTCACTTGAAAGACCACATAAGAATCCACACAGGTGAGAAGCCATATTCTTGCAAAACATGTGGAAAAGATTTTATAGAGAGTACTAGGCTGAAAATTCACATAAGAAGAGCTCACACTGGTGAGAGGCCGTACCTTTGCAAGATCTGTGGGAAAAGATTTGTTGTCCCTTCAGGATTGACTCTCCACACAAGAACCCACACAGGTGAGAAACCGTATTCTTGCAATACATGTGGGAAAGATTTTAGTTCTAGCTACAGCTTGACACTCCACATAAGAACCCACACAGGGGAGAAACCGTACTTTTGCAAGACCTGTGGGAACAGATTCCGTAATGTTTCAGCATTGAAAACACACGTAAGAATTCACACAGGTGAGAAGCCGTATAAATGTGAAACATGTGAAAAAGATTTCAGAACTAGTGGTCACTTAAAACGCCACGTAAGAACCCACACTGGTGAGAAGCTGTAGCTCTGCGTGAAAATATATGCTTTTGCGTCTAATTTGGCACAGCACAGAAGATTTCATACAGGCAAAATTTATTTTCAAAATTATAGTGACCGAAGTCATCACAGTTATCAGTAGTATCAAGGTATTGTTAAATGTGCTTAAAGTGATACACACACTGAAACCAAGCTTTATATTGAAGACCACAAATACAATTAACTTTTTGTTCGCAAAAACATAAAAATAAAAACAGCTACCTTCTTTAGACATATCAAATGTGCATCACATTAAAGCTGTTATTTAATTATATATTATTATATAAGTCAATGCAGTTACCCCATTAATACAGATGAGTCTTAAAAACAGTAATTACAATGAGCCCAACAACTGACATAAATACAGAATAGTCTTGTACATGAGTCTGCAGAGTTTCTCCTGTTTTACAACTAAATCCACGAGTGATGGATTTTAAATGAACGGATGCCTTTGGTGTGAGAGAGTTGGTTTCAGTTTCCACTGTGACACATACACCAATGTGTCCCTGAGCAAAACACTTAACTCTTAGTTGCTCCAGTGTCGACATATATAGCAATTGTAAGTCACTTTGGATAAAACCGTCAGCTAAATGAATAACTGTAATGCACAACATGTTGGTTGGGTGAATAATCTGCATAAAGTGTTATCATGTGCAGTGGGTGTATACAGTCTGCACACAGACCACAGCAGAACAATGTGTCGTGTTTTTACAAGAGATGCTCTTTTAAAAACCAAAATACTAGCTTTTAGCTTTTAGAACAACTGAAAAATATTTGCAGCCCTGTCCACCATGTTGTCATTTACCCAAACAAACCCACGTTGCATGCTGTGCATGCTTGCCTGCTTCTGGGAGACTGTTGCTTGTTTTGGTTGATGCAGAACAATATTTATTCCTTCATTAAAGCTAATATCACACCGGTTCCCCGGGGTCATTTGCTGAGCTGCAGTAAGCCAAAGGTGACATCCTGTGACACTCTAAAACAATAGGTCAGACTTTGTCTCTCCTCTCTGTTCGGTTGACTGTTTGACGCAGCTGCCTTGATCAGGATGAACACTGTGATCCATTCTCTAAGTAACCCAAGGTCCAGATGATTTGTATTTTGTTTCTTTACAGACAGACTGACTGTCTGTCTTTTCTGTGTTCTTTTTATTATTTCTGCTGTTTAGTCTTCTTTGTGTGTTTTGTATATACAGATATTGTTCCGCTATGTGATGTTCATTGTGTTTTGTTTTCGATGAGTAATAATGCCTTTTTTTATTTGTGAAATGGGGGAGGTCTCTGAATAAACCTTTCACTCTTAATTTCTCTTCTGCACTGCAATTACTGTTTTTCTGTTTTATGCATTTCTGTTTTTCTTATTGTGCAAATAATCAAAACAAAGCTAAGAAGTCAGATTTTACATTTGAAGGTTACTGATGTCAGTTTTATTTTGCCATAAAAGAAGTACAATTACATTTTGAATAGGTTGTAAATTACTGTGTTAATTCTACTTACACAATATGAATACTTCTTTCACCAGTGCTCATTTATTTTGTTATCTGCTATGTAACAACCTAAGACACCTGTAAGTTGCAACCAGTAGTTGTGTAAAATTATATCCACAAAAATACAGTGCAATTAGCAAAAATGCAAATCTTACTCTGTACACACATTTTTTATTTTCACATACAAAGTGTTAATTACGCATTTGTGGATCTATTTCTACACACAAAACAGTTTAGCACATTTGAGGGTCACCTACTGTTGATTTGTGGGTCAGGTTACATTTGTGACTTCCTTTTTACACAGCTGGAATTTTTTGGCATGTTGGACTTGAAATAAGGCATACTGGTTAAACATATGTCCAACTTTGACTGGCACTGCAAAACATCACCATGTCACATGAAAGTAACACCTCGCGGAAGCAAGGCGGCTGCAGTTGCTTTTTTCCGGTTTTATATATATATATATATAACTATAATATAGTTAGGCAAGCTACTTGGAAAATGTAGTGAGCTAAGCTACCAGCTACTCTACATTAAATGAATGTAGCGTGTGTGGAATCGAGAAAGAGCTTTTTTACTGAAAAGCTATTTGATTCAGAAAATAGCGACACTACCACCAAGCTACTGGGAAATGTAGTTAAGCTAGTAACGCCGCTACTTGTAGCGACGCTGCTGCCCAACACTGCGTATATACTGTATATACAAACCCGATTCCAAAAAAGTTGGTACACTGTACAAATTATGAGTAAAAAAGGAATGGAATAATTTACAAATCTCATAATCCCAACTTTTCTCTGGACCAAGGCTAATTTAAAATGGACTGTGGCAAAGTGGAAAACTGTTCTGTGGTCATACGAATCAAAATTTAACGTTTGTTTTGGAAAACTGGGACGCCATGTCATCCAGACTAAAGAGGACAAGGACAACCCAAGTTGTTATCAGCGCTCAGTTCAGAAGCCTGCATCTCTGACGGTATGGGGTTGTATGAGTGCGTGTGGCATGGGCAGCTTACACATCTGGAAAGGCACCATCAATGCTGAAAGGTAAATCCAAGTTCTAGAACAGCATATGCTCCCATCCAGACATTGTCTCTTTCAGGGAAGACCTTGCATTTTCCAACATGACAGACCACATTTTGGCAGACCACATACTGCATCAGTTACAACATCATGGCTGAGTAAAAGAAGGATTTTGGTACTGAAATGGCAAGCCTGCAGTCCAGATCTTTCACCCATAGAAAACATTTGGCGCATCATAAAGAGGGAAAAAGTGCGACAAAGAAGACCTAAGACAGTTGAGCAACTAGAAGCCTGTATTAGACAAGAATGGGACAACATTCCTATTCCTAAACTTATCTCCTCAGTCCCCAGACGTTTGCAGACTGTTATTTTTATTTTTCCCTTAAAATGATAAATTTTCTCAGTTTCAACATTTGATATGTCATCTATGTTGTATTCTGAATAAAATATTGAAATTTGAAACTTCCATAGCATTGCATTTTGTTTTTATTCACAATTTGTAGTGTCCCAACTTTTTTGGAATCGGGTTTGTATACAGTTCTAAGACTCAGTAAAGAACTCCTATTATGGTATTTGACATGTTTAAAGATGTCAATGGCACATTGGGTTAAGATAAAGGGATCTGGAAAGGAACAACCTGCAACAAATGTTGTGTGTTTGTTTTGAATATAAAAAAGTAAGGTAATGGGTAAAGGATTTGGTTGGGATATTAATAAATTAGCAGAAGAATAAAGTTTATATTGGTTAGATTATGGAGCAAATACTGTGTGGGGTAATGTTCCTTAATCGATATTTCCATTTCCTTATGGGGACTTGAAGAGAGAATGGATCAAAAGGAACGGATATTTGGTTCAAGATTATGTGAAGAGGAATTATTATTATTATTATATGCCACTGTTTACAGAGGCATATTAAGATCCAGGGAGTGGACAGGAACAGGAGCATACATACCAAAGTTTTATATAGTCATATGCAAAATGATTAATAATAAATTTATTGTATTTGCAGAAGAAATTGTCGTTAGAATTTTGGATTACAATAGATAGAAGACGTAAGGCCTGAGAGAGTTGTAATTTGTTCAGACTCTACTGAAGTTCTTAATAGTTTAAATTCAAAAGAAACAGTAAGCACTGCGACCCTGTACACAGGATAAGGGCGGAGAGGGAGAGAGCACACACAGAGGGAGAGGCGAGGAGACACGGGGGAAAAAACAGAAATGCGAGACGAAGAAAAAAGAAACAAAAGAGCACAGGGCACTCACCGTCAGCCGGGCTGCCACTGCAACAGGGCCCCCCCCTTAACAGACGCCTCCAGGCGGACCCCCCGGCTTGTCAGGGTGGGCCCGGTAGAAGTCTGTCAGGAGGGACTTGTCCGGGATTTGGCTGGTGGGGATCCAGGAACGTTCCTCCAGACCGTAGCCGGCCCAATCCACCAGGTACGGGTATCCCCGGCCTCTACGTCGGACATCGAGGAGGCGGCGCACTGAATAGGTTGGGTGGCCATCAATTATTCGAGGAGGGGGGGGCGCCGCCGCTGGTATGGAGAGGGAGCTGGTGGAAACGGGCTTGATTCGTGAGACATGGAAGACGGGGTGGACCTTCAGGTGAGGAGGGAGGGTCAGACGGACAGCTGAGGGGTTGATGATGGCCTCGATGGGGTAAGGGCCGATGAACCGGAGGGTGAGTTTTTTCGAGGAGGTCTGTAGGGGGAG